TGATTAGAGGTTAATAATGCTGAGCTAGAGTTCTTACTAAGTAGGACACAAAGGTAGCCTAGTTGATCTGGCCAATCTCTAGACTTGTGACCAATAGGGTTTTGTATATAAACTACTCAGTCCCAAGTCTTGAGTTAAGCTTTTCCAAACTTAGTTACTGTATTTTACAATTCCTAACACTACTTTAGTCAAGCTACAAGTGTAACCTAGTAGGTTAGTAGTAGAGTACTTCTAAGTACTAAGTAACTTAAGTTGATAAAACTATCTTTTGAGGGCCAAACTAGCCTCCTTATATACCTTTTGCTAGAGTAATGTTACTCTAGTAACTTTAGTAACTCTCTTTACTGTTGTTTCTATAAAGTAGAGCTGGCTAATTCTTTAGAAACCTTGATAGTCATAATGTTGCTGCATGTTATTTTGCTTTTGACTGTTTGTTCAAGATGATAGAAGAATGCAACTACTTTGTGAATGATCCATCTGACTTGATGAGCTTTTGGACAAGCCTTCCACTATTCAAATTGCAAAGAGGCTCTACAAATGCCTTCCCTTTCCATTCCTGCTTTCTGTCATCCTCACAGGATGTTTCTACAGCTTTCTTCTTTGCCATGAGGAGTAAATCTAGCACAAGAGCCAAAATGTTTCTGTGGCACTGTACTTAGTAGTAATGCCTGGTAGACTGCAAATGCTGATCGGCGATCAACTGTGCATGTGTTTCGTGCGTGAGAAAACTGAAATGCAGTCGCTGACGCTGACGCTGGTAATACAGTGGTATATCATTGCCGCAATCAATGTACACCACTTACTCTGATACTTTGTCCTAGCTTGCACAGAAAGTACAATAAGCGTAATGTAACGCGGGTATTATGCAGTGTAACCTTATCCAAAGCTGATGGGCGGTTTTTCTATCTAGCCCATCAGTGCATTTAATAGTAATCAGGTCAGGGACTTAGTACTTGTTCGGTGCGCAAAAGACCCTGGACCTGTGCTGTACATTGCTGTTGAGGGTGCCAATGTTGCAAAGGGCGCGATGATACCTGAGGACGTACAAGGTACACCCGCAAAGGTAGAAAAAGTGAGTAGCATGGCACAGATGTTGGATTTTTTGGAGCTCAACAGTGCCAACACGCAATTTTAACGCACTTCCGCCTAGCGCAACCCAAGCATGAGCGAACTCTCGATTGTCCGTGATCAGTACTCGATTAAATTCATCAATCTTTTCCACCCGATATCTTGTCCGGGCCTCCCTAATGTTGGCTTGGCAAAAAGCCCTCCGAGCCATCAGTTCCTTAGTGCCTCCGACGGCTCACAGATATGTAATCCGACACCCATCGCGTCAAATACGCCACCTATCCGGGATTTTCTTTGGACCTCTCTTCATCGATGACCTTGTTAAAAGGGCATACCGGCTCTGTCGCTTTCTCAGATGGACAGATCTCGACCTTCTTCAACCTAGCATAGCGAGCAAGGTATGAGGAACTCTACTAGATAACGCTCTATCTTAAACACTAAATTGACTTTCTACAACACAGTGCTTATAGAAGAAAGAGAATTCCGAGAACAGCTAGAATATAGAGACGAACCAGAGAGCAAGCAAGCAAGGAAAAACTGATTCAATAACGGTGCGACTGCGATTAGGAAACAGCGGTGAGTAAAGCAAGGAAAATGTTTAGGACTAGAATGTGCATGTGCTTGGGAGAGGCAACAGGGGAACTAGAGGAAACGGTAGGGAGGAGCGGGTGGATGGAAAGATTGCCGCTTGGCGAGGTTACCGCAAGCGGCGGCGTTTGATTCCTTTGCTGCAACCTTCGTTGTCACCATCGTTCTTACTGTCACTCCCCTCCGCACCCATCTTCGTGCTATGACCGGCAGCAATCCTCGACGAGGGTATCCATTCGCTTTTCAAACCCAGTTCTTGCCGGTCCTTGTCATGCGCCTTGTTGAGCAAATGACGCTCAATGGACTCCCATGAGTCCCTGGAGACGCGACCGTTACACGCCTTGCAAAGGAGACCGAATGTTTTAGTGTGGTCTCTTAGATGTTTCTTTAAAGCCGCCAATGTTCCAAGGGGCTTGTTACCACACTTGAGCAGGCAATCATGCGGTCCAGCCTCCGGTAATTTGAGCTTTTTGAAATGAGATCCGAAATGGCTGAACAGATCCTCTGCGATTACAACGTCGCCGCAGCCAGGGAGAGGGCATGTTATTCGCTCTGACATGGGAATGTTACGTTCCAAACCAATCTTCGCCATAATGTTTGCGCGCAATGGCTTTGCGGATGTTCCATCCGCCTGTACGAGCTTTCGGACAAAGCCCCTGCCATTCGCATCGCAGGGAGGCCGTGGAGGCAACTTCCTCTTCTCCTTCAGCTTTTCTTTTGGTCTCGAGGGATGAGCATCTTCTTTCTTTTCGATGATGGATTCGTGTCCAGTGTCTTTGACACCGCGAGCCTGTTTTTGATGAGCTGTGGTACTGTCAGTACCTGTGGTGAAACCTTCTGCTCTTCCTTCAGTGTCACTGTTTCGTGATATGCGTTTATAAGGGTCTATGGCGTCCTCGGCACCTCTGGCTCCTTTGGGTCTCTCAGGGGCTTTGCACAGACGTCTCACGTCTGGATCCTTATGATGCATATCCAGCGAGGTGAGGGACGGGGCAGATTGCACCTGGCTGTTGACTTCGGATGCAGCAGTAGGGAAATGTCGACTGTGCTGAGTAGATCGAGGTGGGGAGACTTCCAATGTATCTTGAACCGTAACAGACACAGGGCCAACCTGAACAACCTCTGTCACGTCGTCAATGTGAGCACCTTCACTACAACTGCCTGGTGCCTCCAACGAGAGCGGGAACGTGATGCCAGCAGAACCCAGTACAAACTGGCCATCAGATGCCGTTGTGCACAGGTTAAGTCCTATTGGGGGATGAACCGCGTTAATAGAATTGTAATAGTTTAGCTTGAGTCTGCTTCCTGCAGAGTCCTGGTCATTGTTGACGAGACCACACGCGGGCTCAACGGGTGTTTGGAGCACCTGGGGAGAGCATGTTGGCTCACGCGTCAAGGGTCTATAACAAAATCAATATGCTTAAGTATCTGTCGATGCAATTGACCTACGGCATTGATGTACTGGTGTGCCCACCAATAGGTAATGGTACCTGTCTAGCCGTCGCAGTCGTTGGGATGCGGTCGGTCGTCCTGCAATGGGTCGAGGGTACACTAGGCCTCGACTCACTCAGTGGATTGTGCACAGGTTGTCCTGTTCCTTCGCCAATACTTTAAACAGATGAGTTATTTGCTCCACACTAGGCGGGGAGTGAACTTACTTTGATTTGTTGACGTCCTCATCATCCTCATCCCAAAACTTCGTCCATTCCCGAAAGTACTTGGGTATCTCTTGTCGTGTACAAGGGTCGATAGTTCCTTGGACGTCCTCGCCATCCTCACTATGTGAGAGACGTTGAGGGATCGCTGTCGGCGGACCATTGACTAGACTGCAGCACGGGAATGAGCTACGGTCTACAGAAAAAAGTGCGCGACTACTCACTGACGGCCACGGGCCATGGCGTGCAATTGTGGTTGTTGGGAAAGGAAATACTCAAAAGGCGAGGAATACCCTTGATCCATTCTTCCCTCGATGAATAAAGCGCAGACGTGAGAGATGATAGCTCTGCCGGGTTGAGAAGGGGGGGGGGGGACGGGGCAGCGCCAGAAGCGTTGTGGTTTGTTGGAGAGTCGTTGGAAGTGGAGAGAGTCAAAGCCAGAGTCGGCTGGGTTGGACAATACTTATACAATATGTTCGTTATTTGGACAGGGACTTGACTGATTGGAAAGGAAACCTTCTCCCAATCGAGCACTAGAAATTTCTGCTTCAACTTCCCTCCTGTGCCCCCTATACTGTGCGCTTAGGCAGCGTGCACTGCGCATGACTCGCGAGGCCAAAGCACACGCATTAAACCATTTTAGACAACGACGGCCACGATCGATGGCTCAACCCCGAAACGGGCGCTTCCGTTCGCCATCAGCACGAGGAACACAATCCGGTTGGAGTGCGACATCTTTACCTTCTCGACCTTATTCTATGGACCCTTAACGCAGCTGAACGAGTCACACTTGCCTGCACCCTTCTACCAGGTAAAGGATAGGCCGGTGCGGACTGCCGCGCCATGGTTAGTGGGCGAGGGTAAAATGGGAAAATCAACGGCCATATCAGCACAGCATCCTTTGACTTTCGTTCATGTTCTGTGCTCTGTCCATCTTAAAATCCGCGAATCGCATCGACGCAGGAAGCACGCTGGGCTGCTCAACTCTGCCTTCATGGCAGTGCATATACTTAAACCATGATTTTTACCAAAAAAAATTCTGATGAACAAACAAGGCTGTGAGTTAGTCTTGCAATTGCAGGCGTGGGCAGACCTATGCACTAGGTATTCCAGATGGTCTAGCTCAGAGTAAAATGTTCCCAGACTATAATACACAAAAGTATGAACAATTATAAACACTATCTACAATGTGTTTCCACTTTATATATGATATTGGATTACGCCATATAGTCAGTTCCACATAGCAAAGAGAAGTTACATCTAATTTTGGGCGACTGAAATAGAGGTAAGAAATCGAAGACGTCACACCGAAAGTGATGAGAGGGCAAGCAACACATTTCCTAACCAAGACTACAAGGTATGACACGCAACACAAATGCCGGTGCAGCTGGGAAAAAATACAAAGCAGAGCAAGGGAGAATACAATGAAGGTGTGGAAAGCGTTTGTGAACTTGAATGCCTGGCAAAATGAAATAGGTCGAGAAAAGAAACAAACACATACAGCATCACAATAGAGATACTGTGTTGAAGTCTGACAAATGTAAGATCAGAAGGGTGCGTCATTGAACGCGAGTAAGAGAGAAATACGATAATGCTACTAGCAAAGCTTACTCTAGTGCTGCTGCCGCTGCTTTCAAACAAGCGGCGACAGCTCTTGGGAGGTTTTTACTCTTTCCTGCCGTCGAGACATCTGCGCATTCGAATATGATTCTGTCATGGCTAGATGCAATAACAGAGTCGAATTCGAATTCATTGCTTTAGCTGCTGCTTTCCCAGTTGCTGCTGCTGCCTCCTTTGCAATAGGGAATAAATCCAGCACGAGTGCTAATTGCTAGTTGTGGCTCGTAAATAAAGCGCGTTGCCGATCGGCAATCGCTTGTGCCTGTGGACCGTGCGTGAGAAAACTGAAGTACAGCCAAAAACTGTCGTTCACGCTGCTACAATGTACCATTATATTCTTTCACAATGTCTATGATTATTGTGATACCTCTTAACTTGCACTTGCAGTGCAACACAGTAATATAATGTGGGTCTTGTGCAGTCTTACTTTATTCGAACCTGATGAATACTCTCCTGTTTAGAATATCCGAGTATTCATCATGTATCAAGTACTTAGGACTCTGAATTTGTGCTGTACATTTGCTCGAAAGTACAAATGTCGCGAAGGAGGCAACGATGATTCATGGTGCCCAAGGCGTGTTCGCGAAGATGGAAAGGGTGAGTGGTATGGCACAGATGATATATTTTTTGTTACTCAACATCCAACAGCCCAGCTAGTGCCATCCGAGCATGAGCAAACCCTCGGTTTCCTGTGATTCATCCTCGACTGGATTCATAAGTATTCACCAGACTATGTTGTCCGGACTTCCGCTTGGCAAAAGGCCCTCTGGGCCATCAGATCCCTCGTGCCATTGCCGGCTCACAGACATGCTATCCAACATCCATCGCGTCAAATACGCTACCTATCCGGGATTTTCTTTCAGGCTCTCTTCATCGATGACTTTGTTAAAAGGGCGTATCGGTTCTTTCGATTTCTCAGATAGACAGATCTCGACCTTCTTCAACCCAGGATAGCGAGCAAGGTATGAGGGACTCCTCTAGATGACACTCTATCCTAAACACTAAATCGTCTTCCTATAACATAGTTCTTATAGAAGAAAGAGAATTCCGAGAACAGCTAGAATACAGAGACGAACCAGAGAGCGAGCAAGCAAGAAAAAAATGATTCAATAACGGTGCGACTGCGATTAGGAAACGGCGGTGAGTAAAGCAAGGAAAATATTTAGGACTATAATGTGCATGTGCTTGGGAGAGGCAACAGGGGAACCAGAGGAAACAATAGGGAGTAGCGGGTGGATGGAGAGATCGCCTCTTGACGAGGTTACCGCAAGCGGCGACGTTTGATTCCTTTGCTGGAACCTTCGTTGTCAACATTATCCTTGCTGTCAATCTCCTCAGTGTCTATCTTCGTGGTACGACGTGCAGCAACCCTCGACGAAGGTACCCATTCGCTTTTCAAGCCTAGTTCTTGTCGGTCCTCGGCATGCGCTTTGTTGAGCAAATGACGCTCAATGGACTCCCATGAGTCCCTGGAGACCCGACCGTTGCACGTTTTGCAAAGGAGACTAAACGTCTTTGAATGATCCCTCAAATGTTTTTTGAGGGCGGCCAACGTGCCAAGGGGCTTTTTACCGCACTTGAGCGGGCAATCGTGCGGTCCAGCCTCCGGTAAATCGAGCTTCTTGAAATGAGATCCGAAATGGCTGAACAGATCCTCGGAAATCACAACGTCGCTGCAGCCAGGGAGAGGGCACGTTATTCGCTCTGACCTAGAAATACTCCGTTCCAGACCAATCTTTGCCATTATCGATAAGCGCAACGGCTTTGCGGATGTTCCATCCGCTTGTAAGAGCTTTCGGAAAAAGCCCCTGCCATTCGCATCGCAGGGAGGCCGTGGAGGCAACTTTTTTTTCTCCTTCCGCTTTTCTTTTGGTCTCGAGGGATGATCATATTCCTTCTTTTCGATGATGAATTCGCGTCCAATGTCTTTGACACCGCGAGCCTCTTTTTGATGAGCCACAGTGCTGTCAGTAACTGTTGCGAAATCTTCTACCCTTTCTCGTGTCTTGCCCTTCTGTGATATACAGTTATAAAGATTCTCGGATTTCTTCGTTCCTCTGGCTCCTCTGAGTCCTTCGGAGGATTCACGCAAGTGATCCGTGTTTGGATCTCTATACTGTATACCTAGTACAGTGGCGGACTCGGTAGCTTGTGTCTGCTTTTGAAAAGCAGATGCATCGATAGAGGAATATGGATTGCGAGAATCAAGTTGAGGTGAGGAGACCCTTGATCCATTTTTATCAGTACCAGACGGAGGACTGCCCTGGTCGCTCGCGTTTGCTGTAGAGCCTTGCACGAAAGGGTTAGGCTTGAACCCTGTTGAAAAGTGAGCAGCATAGGTAGAGGCATAGTAGTTGGACTCGAGTCCGTTGGCTGCAGGACTCTGAGCCTCGTAAGTGTTCTCGAGAGCATACACAGATCCAACGGGTGTTTGGAGCAGAAGTGGAGAGCATGTAGGCTCCCGTGTCAAAGGTCTGTAGAAGTAAATGAGTATGTGTAAGAATATACCGATGGAATTCACTCACGGAATCGATCCGCTATTATGCTCGGCGACAGGTAACGGTACCTGTCTGGCTGTTGCAGATGTCGCAATGTGGGTGGTCGGCTCGCAATGGGTCGCGGGTACACTAAGCCTTGGCTCACTCGGCGGATCGTGTTCAGGCTGTTCTGCTCCTTCGCCATTACTATAAACAAATGAGCTGTTCGCTCCATATAGACAGGGAATGGACTTACTTTGATTTGTTAACGTCCTCATCATCCTCGTCCCAAAACTTCGTCCATTCCCGAAAGTACTTGGGTATCCCTTGTTGTGTACAAGGGGCAACAGCTCCTCGGGCATCCGGGCCTTCCTCGTTATTCGGGGTGTGCTGGGGAATTGCCATCGACGGACCCTTGGCTGAACTGCAGCACGGGAATGAGCTGCGAACTATGGAAAAAAGCGCACACGACTACTTACTGACAGCCACGGGCAATGGTGTGCATTTGTGGTTGTTGGGAAAGAAAATAATCAAAAGGCGAGGAATATTCTTGCTCCATTCTTCCCTTGGGGAATAAAGCACAGACGTGAGGGATGATAGCTCTACTGGGTGGAGGAGGAGAGAGATGGGGTAGCACTAGAAGCGTCGTGGTTTATTGGAGAGTAGTTGGAAGTGGAGAGAGTCAAAGCCAGAACCGGCTGGGTTGGACAATATTTATACAATACGCTCAGTATTTGGATAGGGATTTGATTGATTGGAAAGGAAACCTTCTCCCAATCGAGCACTAGAATTTTCTGCCTCGACGTGCTTCAACGTGCCCCCTATACTGTGCGCTTAGGCAGAGAGCACTGCGCATGGCTCGTGAGGCCAAAGCACTCGCATTAAACCATTTCAGACAATGATGGCCATGATCGATGGTTCAATCGTGAAGCGGGCGCTTCCGCCATCAGCACGGGGAACACGATCCGATTGGAGTGCGACATCTTCACCTCGACCTTATTTTGCGGACCCTTGACGCAGCTAGACGAGTCATAACCAAGGTTGTGCTTTTGCCGCCCTCCGCCCTTTCCTCCCTTCAAACTACTACATAGGCCTATGGATACTGCCGCGCCGTGGTTAGCGAGCGATTAGTAAAATGAGAAAATCAATTGCCATGTCGGTACGGCATCCTTTGACAATCGTTCATATTTTGTGCACTGTCCCTCTGGGTGATAGTACATCGCGTCGATGCAGGAAGTAGACTGGACTGCTCTACTCCACCTTCATGGTGATGCATCTACTTGAGACGAGTTGTTCGCCAGCCAGCGAAATTCCTAATGAACAAACAAGGCAATGAGCTAGTCCTTGCAATTACAGGCACGAGCGGACTGTATGTTCCAGATAGCCCTCAGAGTAAGACGCACTGATTTCTGACTTCAAGAGCGTCCCTAGGCAAGTGTACTTGACGTAGAAACTCCTGTAACATAAGTTTATTCCCAGGGAACAATACGCGACACTATAGATTATTATCGCAGACAAGTCATTTTACTCATTAATTACAATTATTAATAGAACCTTAACTTGCGACTAATTAGGTAACTCTTTCCATTCTGATCCAAATCGATTTGCCATATGCACCACCATCTGTGCCACTCAATTTAGTATTATATTGTCTGACGTATTCTACATTTCTGAGACTCCCTATTTTCTAAGCTTCGCACCCTGAATATTCATTGATAACGTACTATTGTCAGGATGATGTCTTTGTGACATCTTGACCAAGAATTGCTAGATCAGACTATTTGTGATAATAAAGACAAAACAGTATGACGCTTCCGCTGTTATTCCTTACTGTGATGCATATGTCTGTATGTGATATTGGTACACTGCGACATATGCTCCACACAGAAACAAAATATCCATCTAATTGTGAGTGAGTTTTACGTGAAGGAACAAGATTGGAGGCAAGACACCGAAAGTTATGAGGGGAGATCGATACATTTCCTATTTCCAATAGTACACGCTACGACGTACAACATGAATGCTAATGTACGAAATCATGAGATAGCTAGAAAACACAGTGGAAATGCAAGGACAATATACAACGAAGATGAAAGCAATCAATGAAGATGAGTCAAGCATTTGTGAACTTGAAAATGACAAGGTCAAGGAAAGAAGGACAGCATAGAGAAGTCCGACTAATGTAAGACTACGAAAGGGACGTGTAATTGGACACGAGTTAGGAGAAATTCGGCAGCAATGCTACTTGCCTGAATTTGATTATAGACGTCGTCGCTTCTTTCCCGTGCTCGAACCTTCGATAAATTCGTATTCGACGCCGCCATTGTCGGACGAGGCCTCGACCTTCACGGTATCCTCTTTTGTATGGTTCTCCTTATCAGCACCGATATCACCAACAACTTTCCACTGCAGACCGAGCTCCTTCCAGACTGCTGCGTGCTTTATCGGCTTGGTCTCGAGGTGCCGGATCACTTGATCCCAAGAGACCCTGCTGAAACTGCCCGAACAAGCTTCACAGTATTGCTCGCCTGCATGAAGATGGGCCTGCAGAACGTGCCGTTTCCGTGCTGGCAGATCTTTCTGGGTGCGTTTACATCCGACGACAGGACAGGTCGCCCCGGATGCCAGGTCAAGCTTTTTGAGGTGTCCTTCGACGTGCTTTGCGACGACCGCTTCGCCTACTTTCTTCCCACAATCGGGGAAAACACACGCGTATTCAGTAAACGCTTTCCGGAGGCCCATGGCCTTCCGTACACGATCCCTGGGTAGTGAGCTCGCCGAGAGGCCATCGGCCGTGATAAGCGCTTTGACAACGCTTTTGTTCTGCCGAGACGATTTCTTTTTAGTGTCATTCTTAGCTGGCCTTTTCATCGTAGAAACAGGCGCCTCTTGGTCATTGCTCAAGCGGACCGGCTCAATCACGCTGGCATCGGCTTCAGGAACGTGTTCACTTTGCGTGTCCCCAGGGTGCGGTACTTCGCCAGCAGGCCCGGACGAGACCCGGAAGGTGAATTCAGCCTGCAATGGTGCAGTAGAGTGTGAACCACTGATATCTGAATGTGATGGAACAAGCGGCTGAGTCTTTTCAGTCGGGCTACCTGAGACCAGATTGGAACTCGGAGTGTGGGCGGGACGCACTGCCTCGGGATTGAGCTGCAGTTCTGAACGAAAGCAATCTTGTCCAATCGCCTGCGAAACGGGAGTGAGAGACTTGCGATCAACGACCGTTCCGTGGAAAGGTTCGGAGAGCTCAATCGGAGTTGTGAGTGAAGGGGTTGCGAGTAAGGAAGGTGAGCGCGTGATTCCACGAGACAACGGTCTGCAGGAATGAGTCAGGAAACCAAAGCATCCTCCTTGAAGGATTCGACTCACGGAAGGGAATATCTCGAAGGCTCGCTGAGTGGACTTGCGTAATCTTCATTTATTATCGGATGATCTAGTGGTGCTTCCAAGGGGATCGAGAATCGACTTTCGCCTGTGCTCCAAAGGTGGCTGTCATGCAGCGAGTCGTCGAGCCGGTAGTGATTCCGTGAATGACCAGGATAGAAATCGGGAGCAACTGAGTTACTCTCTGTCGTGATTTCGGAGGTCAGCGCCTGGAGAGCAAATGATTCTTTTCCAATGTTCTGGATATCACTGTGCACGGTTAAGCTTTAGCCCTTAGAAAAGGGGAAAGCAACCTACTTTGAATTTTCCTGTGTCTTTGGGGGGTCGAAAACAGTACACCATTGGCTAAGATCCACTTCATCTTCTTGTTCGTAGCCGTTTGTACAGTTATTTTTGTTGTCGAAATTAGGTCCGTTAGTTGTCTCCCGGTCTTCCGATGGTACCACTAGAGAATAATCGTCTGTGGACGAATGTCCGCTTTGGCTGCTAGCCGGGAGTTAGCCACATTGCATTTTGAACGACCGAGACTACTTACAATGAACCACAAAAGGGAGTCTGTGGATAATAAAAAGAGGATGTCGAAGAATGTCCTTGTTCCATTGTAGGAACAAGAAAGGAAGACAGCGGAAGGTTGTAGATAGAGGTAGAGGATAGCGGAGTAGGGGGGGAGGGGAGGTGGAGGAAGGAAAATAAAGCGTGAAATTTATGAACCAAAGGACTTTGTCAAGTACAACAAACAATACGCACGGGATTTGGAAGTCAAAGCGATCGATTAGAATAGAAATTCCTCTAAATCGAACATGGAGATTCACCCCAGATCTGGTACTAGGAATTTTTGCGCTTCGACAACAAGTCGCGTCCCCTCTCCTATTCTTTGCGCTTCGACAAAGCATATGTCGGCCACAACCCAGCCACATGTTTGCTCGAGGCGTCGTACGACCCTGGAAGACGCATGCTTCCATTCGTTCATTCATCTACAAGCAGACAGCGCTCCGAGCCGAGGGCACTCATCCACCTTTCTTTTGAGAACCCTAAACGACGAAGACTCGATGCGGTAGAGCGCTCCACTAGCGCCTACTGGCACCTACTGGCACCTACTGGAAACCACTTGCACAAAGCCTGGTACTCTGCCGGGGCTGTGCTTCAGTGACGATAGATCTTGTATACCGAAGCGCACGGATGCAGCTAACTATGAGCGCCGACTTCTGCGTGCACGTATCGCTCTCTCTAGTTTTCACAGCAGAGCAATGCCGACCGGAGTCTGGTTGCGCCTCCCGGGGCAGTACGTGTCCGTTGGAGTTGAAATACACCTCTAAACCATTTTAGAAGAATTATTCAGCGTCGTTATATCCTTCGCGCGAACCGACTGTCAAACGTTTAGGACTGGTTCGACCTGACGAGATTTGCTGTGCCATAAGCGTACAACGTCTTCGTACTCTGCAACAACCCGGGAGAGGATTAGACGAAGGAGAACGATCTGCCTTACTGATACTTAGCGCCGATGAAAAGTTTCGAGCATGCGGCAGCCGTTATGGGTGGTATGCTCTGTACAGCGGCTTTCTGCCGCCTACAATCAGTGCAGCTCGACTTGTCATTATACGCTACGGAAATCATGACTATGCTGATGGTTTTTACTCACAGCCAGTGAGCGAGCGGGATGGAATATTCCAGCTAGATACAAGCAGCTTACGGACTCGTGAGTATGGTAGATATTCTGCGTTTCTATATTAAACTTACCTTGCTACTTGTCTCGCGATTCTCGTAAACAATGCCATGCCGTATGTTCAGAATATATTCGTCCCACGGAACATCGCTCGACGGTGGACAGAAATATAGAGCACTTTTCACAAACGGTTTTGGTGTTGTCTTCTCCAGCGCTTAAAGTAACAGGGAGCCAGTCTCGATTCGAGTGAGAAAAGCATGCGACAAGGATTCTGTAAATCGTGAGTAATTCGTCAGGAATGGTGCAGGGGCCAGTCAATGCATTGGCAAAGCGGAATTACGCATTGACATGTGGAAGAAGGGGTGCAGTTGCACTGTCTCTATTGGATGGAGAACCTCCAGATCGTTTTGTTCAGACCACGAGTCTGCTCAATTTTTTGTCAATGGGGGAGATTCACAGTATCGAGGACGTTGCAATGCTCACCATCTCAAATTTACATAGATCGAATAGGGTTGCAAGGCCTGCGATGGGTGCATTGCATGAGTCATGCCTCACGAAAATCGTCTGCAATGACATCTATATATAACGTTCTTATCCATTAGGTGAGCAGTACTAGTTGATCTACTCAAAACGTGTGCTATAATCGTGACAACTTAGCCTGGCCCATCCCACGCATGGAGACACGCAAGCAAGAGCAAGGCGAGACGTTCAGAACAGAAATTCAACCGCGAAGCCTTTTCCTGACGACATTGTAATTGACAGAAATCGTATGGGAAACAGTATTTTAAAAACGATCGCAAACTCTGACGCCAACAGGCTGAGCTATCACGCTTGCAAAAACGACTCATTGGGAATGTACTCACCAAGCGAGCAGAGACAACATATTCCCTGCTCTACTCTTCGGCCCACTAGATTCTGCTATGTGTAGGCTAGATTGTCTCGTGTCTCAGGTATCCAGTACCTCATTCCGCATGTTGTGAATGACCAAGACTACGGCTCTGAGCTGGCATTTCAGCTCTCAAGCCTTGAGCTGATGGAACCAGTAAGCAACACAGAAACGATAAACTGAAACTCAATAGCGAGTAGGATCTGAAGAGCTTGCTCCTTCAGCAAATCGTTCCAGGGACGCGTGCGGATACACTGTATTGCGAGCTGCCTGCACCAAACTTGATCCCGGTACTCGTAAAAACGTTGACTTTGCTGTTCTCGCTTTGCGTTATTCGGGAACACTGTTAGGTTCCAGGATTTTAAGGGAAGACGAACATGAGTAGCATTGAATGGACAGGAGACATGGCGAGTTCCAGTATCCAGTGTCCAGTGTCCAGTGTCCACTGTGCCACTGCCACAGCAGGCGAAAGCTATCTTAGTAATCAAGCTCAAGAAAATAAATTAAAATAGAACCTTGATTCAAACACAGTTATGTAAGCTGTATTTGGTCCCGCTAAAATTGAAAGTATAAATATTAAATAAAGCTAACTATTCTCATACACAATAACGATTCACAAAATCAATAATACTGTACTGCACATGTAACGTCCATAAAGCTCTGCTGTGACTGTACGGAAGCACCACTATTGTTACTTACGTGTAGTGAACACTGAACGTACGATAAGCTTTATTGTACCGTTACGTGTAATTTGTACCTCACTCGAAGACTTAGTATCAATCAGAAGAGCAAACTCATCGAGTCGAGGAGAAGAGTTACGACCTAATGTTTCGGATCCATCATGCATTTCGTCCGGCACTCAACTCCTCCGGCCGCGTAGAAGAGAAAAACCAGTAAACATCATCCTATTGGCCCTATCTTGTCTTCCAGATTTGCATACATAAGGTATATCCTTCAATATACGATTCGCCTCATAAAGGCAAACAGCATTTGAGCAAAGTTCATCACTTACAGGTTCTGGAAAACGGTTGCTGTTGATTGAAGATTCGCTTTGGCGGTGTGCAGTGTTCCCATAGCGCATGGAGATATGGAGGACCTTGGTGAACAAATCGTGAGGGAACGGCCATCAAGGCCGACAGTTAGACAGAAATGATGGCATGAATATGAGTAGGAAGACTTTATAAAGTCATGCCTTTCTATACGGATCATAGCTATAATGAGCAGCCTTGACAGCGGGCTGCGCAGACCTCCGTGAGGCGCTGGGACAAAGAGGAAGTTGAGAACCCTGCCTGCAAAATTTGACGATAAATGATAGACGCTTATGTGCTTCATAAGTAAAGGAAGAGAAAGAAGTGAGTCAGATTGAGATATGTGAGAAGCACGAGAGACAGGATTCAGCGACTCCACCGGGATATCAGTCATCTCGACCTCTGACTTCCCTCCAACGAAGACAATCCACGTTCTATGTTAAATGTGATGTGACGACTGCGGTCTGTTAAGAATGCATGATTGGGAATGACGTTGACACTGCTTAGCAGGAGCAGTTATCATAACACGTCTAGTTAGTAAAGCTGCCCTTGCTGCCCTGTTTATGCTCCTGTCTGTAGGAAGCGAGGGCATAGACGAGACACGCCACGCCACGCAGCCAGCTCACATACTATCAGCTCGGGCAATCAGGTGAAGCGAGAAATGTAGAGGAAGCACCGACCGAGGCACGATAGGCAGGAACACTTACTCTTACGGCGTACCCATACACACTCGAGATCGGACGGAAGGGAAGCAGAAAGACTCCTTAACGGATCATGTGAAATTGTGAATGCAACGTCCACGCATCATGATTGTGCAACTTCGATCGATGCATCGTGAAGTCAAGAGGTCGCCGGAGTCTGCTAACTGCAGGTAATGATTTCTCTTGTAGTCCTACTAGTAGTATTACGCGCTCCGGACTCCTACCGATGATGCGGACCGATGCGCCATGAAATCAAGAGGTTGCCGGGATGTGCTAACCGCACGCAGTGATCTCTCGTGAAGTAACAGTGTTATACTCCGGATTCCCACTGTTGATGCGGACTGAGAATTGTGTTTTGATTTTCCTCGCCACTGCGGCCTCGGATACAACGACTGTTCCTGGAGCGCATCTTTGAAGTAACCGAAACTAAAATGAACGAAGGCGCATCAGTACCCTCGAACACTTAATGATTTGACCGTGGTCAGAAAGGTCAGAGCCTCGAGCTTGCCGAGGACATGAGTGTATCCTCTATTACTATCGTGTGCAAGCCGAGGAATATGCCTACAGCCGATTGGCTGAGTAACTAACTGCAAAAGTAATGGGTACAAGGCGGCACAAGGCGGGTCACAGGAGAGACTGAAGGCCTGTGCATATGGTTGCCTCGAACACATCCTAGCCTAGATGCGTATAGCAGTACTGCCGCCGAATTCGCAGATCACCAGTCCTCCCGTTTCGACTTTTCTGTCTTAGAAAGTTCCAAGCCAAGTTTCTCCGAGTCCTCTGTGCAATACGTAGATCTCCGAGACCATACAATTTAGTAACTTTATAGCATCAATACTGAGAAGCCGCAGCTGTAGTAGATTTCCAATCCAAACACCACGCCAATAGTTTATATTGATGCGGGTATACACCGATCGTGAATGCGGACATGTGTATCAAGATATCAAACAGATGAGAGATGAGACCGAAGAGAGCGTTGTGTGCGAAATTTGAAGGTCAGCGCGTTCGGAGCACCATCTGAGCTTAATCTCTTGATGACACAATATGCTCCTTGATTAGCACATCTTCCGACCTCCGATTCCGTAGAAGTAATAGCTGCATACGGTCGGGACGGCCATCCAGAGCCGACACCATTGCTTTCACAATGCATATGACCAAATGACATTGTCAGTGTGAAACGAGAAGACTTACAAAGTTACACAGAATGAGTTGAAGCGCAGAACGCCCGCGGCCCGAAGAAAACATTGGATTTTCTAAGTGGACGACGGAAGAAATAGATTCGCTGAAATAGGCACAGTTTCATTAAGCTGGAGGTCGTGAGAATGCGACGCCGATGGAGACCGAGACACATGGGACGGGCGCGATCCGGTCTTATCAAAAATGTTCCGTCTCCCGTCGTGGCCGGCCGTAATCGTAAATATCTCCTGCCAGCGTGTGTATGCATGTATATTGCTAATTGCATAGACCCTCATAGATCCTTCCTTGGTCCTTCCTTTGCAACGCGCGTTGCATTTATTCTATACTGGGTGAATCGGAGAATGTAAGCCGCATAAGGTGAATCGCTAAGTCTGGTTTCGCAAAGATTGCAAAGATCCAACCAAAGAAAGCTGTACATATGTACGTTAACATGCCATCCATGCGTTCTCGTTATTTCAGTAGCAGTCGCCGCGCATTCCCAAACGAGTGCCCGCAGTTGTGAGTAATTAATATTGGTTAAGGGGATGTCGGCGAATGTTCCTTACTTCGTGCATCTTTTGTGTATTCTCAAATTGCCGGTGAGATGCGGCTGGAAGTTCTGGAGTTGAAACACCTAACTATGTATATCCTGAACGTCGGACTGAGGAACCTCCGGAGTGGCAAATGGATGGACAACGAACGAAGGACAATTATAAGGCGGGACATCGTGCAATCATCAATAGAAGGTTCTTAACACCGTGATAGTGGTGGTTGGCACCTCAATGCGTACGTTGGCATCACTATCACAGTCGATATCACTCGTCCAGATATCATTATCACGAAAGAGTATCGTATAGCCATTTCCTCTGTTGAACAGGATTCTCCAACAGATGAACATCCCATTGACCGTCGTTTCGCTATCTACGCACTTGCTAGGTAACGCACATCATCAGCGAACCAACGAATAGCGAATAATAACCTCCGTCATCATCGACTTCGTCTCCGTCAACACAGCAAATCGCCGTGCCAATGTTCTGATCACCGGCAACGCCTTCCTACTTCTCTGTCACCCTCATATCCCGACCCATTATCTCTCTCGCCCTCTGGTACCCGAGTTGGGATAACCCAGATAAGGTCAAGCGAACAGATGGGATGAAGAAGCATGGATACTTCGATGGCACAAGACAAAAGTAGATTAGACTCACAGTTCATTGTCTTGTCTTTCCTCGCCACCGTCATCTAGGTTAGTTGCCAACACCGGATTCATCAGGAATCAACAGATGTGGCAGATGGCTAGCATTGGTACTGGCAACGGGCCCAGTGGACAAATGTAGATCACAGCTTTGTTCTTTTGATAATTATCCGCATATGGGTAATAGGGTGTTTATAGCATAGACTCTAGAAGATGGTCTGCTTCCATGGATTGCCGTTTCTGCGAGTGCATCTATCTGCGAGTGGGGTCTGTGCCACGGGAGATACGAAACAGCGGTGAGGTGGTAATCCTGCCAAGGCAGAATCGAATCCTTGAGACATGAGAATTACTGAAAAACGAGTAGGATTTACTGATTACAAATAATCACGGCTGATCGGCTCAGATATATCAATTTCATCATCGAATGCCAAATCTGTACACCTAGGCATTTAAAAACTGTTGCCAACAATTTAACAAATTTCGGAAGAAGACACAAAATGAACCTGAAGAACTGAAAACTAATTCAGAATCGGTGTCCAGATATGATACCATCGGGATTGATTACGACAAATCATATTCATTGGCTATTGATATTAGATTATTATGATAAAATTGAATGACCGCTCTGTTCCCCAGAGTCGCCGACCCCACAAATCACATCGTGGCGCATGTTCAGCTGCTCTTGCGTATCTATCGGCGAGTCGCAATCCTCGTATAGGTTAAAGAGTTATTTAGAGATGATGACACAGTGGAAGTTTGACGTCGGAAACGAAAGAAAGAAAGACGCTCACGAGTCACTTCACATCTCCGTCGGAGTGAGAGTCAGCACATAAGGTTGCACGAGAAGTCCGAAGTTCTTAGAAGCTCTGGGACCTGGGATGATTCCGAGGCTTAACCTAAGTTTACCGCCAGAATCTTCAACAAAAGAAACAGGTGAGGATTGAATAGAAGAAAGCCGGAATTGCACGAGACTACTTGTCGGGACGAGACCGGTCAATGCGGCATTGCAGATAAGTGACTGTCTTGAATTGATTCGTGCATGTCTGTCTGTATACATGATGCTAGCTCCTGAATGTCTGAGCGTCAGAATGAGAACTAGCAGTGTTTATTATTAGGAGAATCCTAATACCACCGCCTCGTCCTCGCCTTGCCTCGTAGGTTCATGAAAAGTAGTTCCACTCGGTTCGTTTCGTCCGTTTCATGCGGGAGCTTTGATGAGCGGCATCTTCTCGTTCTGACTGGCACCGATCTACAAGAACTGGCACACATGTCTTTCATCTTGCGCCTTTCCTTATTACTATGCCTATGGCATGGAAGGGAGGTAGACATACGAGCTCGGCAAGAGACCGCCGCCTTCACATGAAGAGAAACCGCATACAGGGAGAGAACTGATCAGGAAGGACATGATATTAGAAAGTCAGATTCCGAGAAGGGAATAATAGAAATCGTATCAGAATGTAAATCTTTTGGTGGTCAAGACAACACTGACCGCCACCTGTCCGCTAAAGCTTGCGAAACCGCGACGTGCGGAGACGTTCTGTACCGAATAATGATAAAGAAGTGAAAAATTGGTTGAAAGGGAACATCGATATCGTGGGAATGTGAGGTACGAAGACGTGTTGGTGTTCACGGAAATAAGCATATCCGAGGCGCGAGTTCATTAATTGATTGGAGAGGTAAGGACAAGGAGCTACTTTTTGAGGTAACGCAGATGAAAATGCGATGAGACGAGAGCGGGCTTCATCAAGCAACAGGCGCCTCGCCACACTCCAAACGCTAACAGCGATGCCAACTCGAATTAGTCAGATGGAGCAAGCAAGAGTTTGTTTCCTATTCAACTGTTGAATATTGGTTCTGTGTTGCGGCGAGTGGCACAGCCAGCCAACTTGCTTCCATCTGATGATGCCCAACAAGGATGGGGATCGTCATGCACAAGCGAGCGCGGCCACTAGATTATCGAGGCTAGGAATTGCATCCGGCCAAAGAGCAGATGGAATTCAGTTTTTTCTGCGGCTAGTCCAGTGTGCTGCTGAGGAGGAATTCTAAATGAGATACGTACGGCATATGTGAAGGGCGCAGCAGCAAATTGCACAGGAGCAAGCGAGGAAGGACAAATGTCTATTATCTTCAATTCTTCTTTCTTCCTCGCAAGCGACCCTATCAAGCGCCCAGGCGCCCTAGGAAGACCCCCGAAAGAAAGGAAGCCTACCAAAAAAAAGTGAAAGGCGAGGTTGGGAGAGAAAGTGCGAGAAAGCGCGCGTCTTCGTGTATACATGAACAATTGTATAATTGCAGCGAGCGGCGGAGACAAGAGGGAATTGATCCCTGCGCATCGCCACACATGTTCCGCTGGTACGCAACACTACGACCCTGCACGGGACGAGAGCACGCAGGACGAGACGGGGATAGGACTGCGTCTGCCGCGATGCGATCTGGATTCAAAAAGAAAAATAATCGCGTGCGTGCTAGAGGGAATTGAATGGCGGGATTCGAGATGTTTCACTAAACGAGCTTGACCGGGGATAGCAGATTGTAAAAATACTGAGCTCCTGAGCGTCCCTTATTCAGCGCCGGAGGAGACGCGAGCACTAAACGGGATCCGGATGGCAAAGTTCATTTGCAAGACAGGAACGGATTTCTCTACACTAACTAGGCTTGTTCGTGTCCTAAGAGCTGAAAAAAAAAAGAACGGCATAATTGTGACATCGCTTGGACTAGTCATTTGCTACGAGAGCGACGAGAAGAGAGGCAGTACCATTTGTGCGCCTCTGCGACTTGTCCATTGTAGGGTCGGAAGTCGGATAAAGAGATGGGGTGAACCGCATGGGTTCTGGCGCCTATGCTGCTGCGAGTGCAATGTAATGCCGGCAGTGAGGAAAAACTAGAGGCACAGCGTAGAACGAGGAAGGAGCGGGTACTGCCGAAATGAGAATTTGCGTCGGTGAGAGGCCTGAGAGAAAAGGCCAGTGATGGGGAAGCCTCGGAGTAGACGATGGACAGAAGTGCCGTAAAGGCCGAAAGAGGGAGGAGGAGAATGAAGGTGCGATGATAAGCTCTGGAGACCGTAAACAGGTTCTGGCCAAGTGGAGATTAGGAGACACCGCGCGCGAAGTGGGAGGTATGTAGTTTATGGGATATACTGGATAAGGCGAATCGACGCAGACGGGAGGAAGGAAAGGAAGGAAGCCAGGAGGATGGAAGCAGCAGGCATGCAGGAAACATGCACACATGCAACATGCAGCACTACGAATATGGGTTGCAGCAGCACAGAAAAAAGGGAAGCGATGGCAAAACAGCTATCAATCCATATATGGAAGGGACATACGGCGGCTCAAGTGATCGCCGGTGTGATGGAATCGAAGACAGAGGATGAAATTGGCAGGTGCCGAGGTGACCGGAGTCCCTCGCGTCAGATGAACAATCAGCAAGCCCTGTTGGCCGTCTACTGGGGCGCCGGCATCTCTTTTCGACAAGACGCTCTGTCCAGACGTCGTCCGCCACGCCCTCCCTGTCCTTTTGCCGCCCAGCTGCCCCCTCGAACTGCCCAAGCATGCCTGTGCGCACTGTCAGACGGTGAGCAGCCTTGTCCTCCGTGTCGTCCGATGCCCGTGTTTGCAACTGTAGGACGCGTCGCGCGGTGCTGTCACGTCCCCCGTGTCTACGCGATCACTATTTTTCTGCTCCGAAGCCGCTGACTTTTTTATTTTCCTGATCGCTCCATTCTCTCGATTACCCCCACCCCCACTCCTCTTTTTTTTACTCGATTATAATTTTATATTATTTTTGGCTTATAAACTAAAATATATGCAGGAAACTACGGCACCACAGCGAGCCTCCCTTGCCATCCAGAGCAGCTGACTCGGCCGACGAGCTCGACGCAGATGACAATTTAGACGCGTACATCGACCCAACTCCGGCACCGCGCAGACTCGTTGATGCGCAGGCACATCTTGCTTCTCTTGCTGCGGGTTCTGCTTTGACTGCGACGAACAAAAGGTATCACCCATCTGGCTTTGCTCTCGACCAACAAAGCTCCCAGGTACGTCCCATTGGTGCAAAGGGACGAACTCCGTCGACGACCACAACGACCACAACGACTGGATCTAGTGCATCAACGGTCACATTCCCACTGACTCCGACATCTGCAGCGGGAGAAGGTGACCGGACGATGGGATCGCTGGCGGCAGGATCAGCCGACAACAAGGCCAAAGACAGCCAGAAGACCGGTGCATCTGAGGTGAGTCGACTCACACCGAACCCTACCTCGTCTCGGAGACAGGAGCCCAACAGAATTCCCGTGTGGGCGACACAGCCATGACACACACACCAGATCCTGATGATCAACACCACACCACGTCTGCTCCCCAAACCCTATTTAAAATTATCAAGAATACTCACATTTCCCTTTCTGCATATGTCCAGTTGCAACCTGTGGGCTTCCAACCCGCCGAAGATAAAATGAGCGAGCAACATCCTATCACCAATCCCTCAGCACGCCCCCCTCCCCCTGACGTCCCCGTCATCCGCACCAACAATCCATCAGTACCACATTCCTCTCTAAGGATATCTGCACACTCATCCCACTCACACGCGAACGGCTCTGCTGCCCAGCCATCAGCTCCGTCCCCCGCTCCCGTCGTGCGCACAATGTCCCACCGTCTCGAGAACCAATCAATTCGTCCTCGGTCAGTATGATCTCTCTTCTTGACGCGCTGACGTCCCCAGCTGATCTCCGCCTTTCTTTATTTTTATACTCCCTTTTTACGCACCGCGTTTCCTTCCGTCCTCGCTCTTCTCTACCCCCTCCCTCCCCTTTCTTCCCACTTCTTCCAGTCACTTCCAAGACCAGCACTTCCACGAAAGCCACTATTACTCGGCACATCCCTCTCCCCCGCCTATCACCACCTTAACGCACTCTCCCTCCCTCTCGTCCGACCGCTCCTCCGTCAACTCTCCTGCTCCCACCATCCTTCCGCCACTCGCGGCCCACCCCGGTCAGTTCCAACACCAACCATACATAGCTAGCAGTGCGCATAGATACCCATCGTCTGCACAACCGGGTACCTACCACCACTCTCACTACTACCCCAACACCGTCTCCCCTCCCGAGGTGTTCACTACGCCTGCTCAGTCCTACGCCCACGCATATAGTGGCGGATACGCACCGCCTCCGCCCCCCTTCCACCACGCCACTGATATGTCTACTCAACAGTACTCAGTCAACCCATATGCAACTACTGGTTCCCTTTACGGTCATGGTGGCCACGGCGGTGGAGGCTCCGGTGGTTACACACCAATCTATACGGACGATGCTTCGACAAAATTGAGCGACCGTGTCAGACGCCGCTGTTTCAACTGCTGTACTACAGACACTTCGACGTGGCGTCGATCAAGCCTCAACCCGGGCAAAGTGGTCAGTATTAAAATTTCCTTATTTGATATTTTCCCTGCTTTGAGCCAGAATGCATATACGGGACTATTTTCCGCCTTCATTAATTTGCTTCCGCATATCATGGCATGAAACCTGACTAACCGCGTTGATATCTAGCTCTGCAATAAATGCGGTCTCTTCGAACGGACCCACTCCCGACCAAGGCCGGATCAATTCCCGCATAAGCGCGCCCCTCTGCAAATGCCTCCTCAAAGCGTAGCGCACAATAGCGTCAGTGCCGCGCAGTCGATAAGCAGCACGCAGTCGCATGCGCAATCGGAGCATGGCTCCAACGCTGCGCCGCACAGCCTGCCTCCCACAACGGGTCACCCTTCACTTGGTACAGGATACAACCACTCAGCACTGCCACAGATTCAGGAATGGCTGCGCCCAAATTCGGGCTCTGCGTCAGCAGGAGCCGCTAACCACGCAGGCACAGGCTCGTCGTCTGCCTCGTCCAGCGCGTCCGCGGGTCCAAGCAGCAGAGCCCACTCCGCGTCTTCCGCGGCAGATAACAGGCACCAAACGTATGCTGCATCTTCTGTGCCAGCGTCTGGTTCAGGAGGCGCGGGAGAAACCCGCTCACCTCAAGCACTTCCCGCGCGCCTTGTGAAACGCTCTGACTCGGTCAACTCGGACTTGGTCGATAACACGACCCCTCCACAGCGTCGCAGTACGCAGAATCTCACGCCTTCACCCTCGCCCCCTCCTGCTGAGGCGGCAGCACCAATTACGGGTGGAACGGCTTCCACTGCGGATGAGTCTAGCCCGCGTGCGCTCCCGCATGCCGTCAGCTCCGGGGCTGAGATGGGCAAGGCTTAAAGTTCTCTGTTGTTTAGATGAGGAAACTGCGCTGAGGGCTCTGGCGCCATAGCAGGCCACTCTTCCATCTAATCTTTGTGGTCCTTCTTCAATGCAGTGAATCGAAAACCCCTCATGCAACCAATCCAATGAAGACGACTTGTAATAATGTACGAACCCCATCGCATATTTGTGTCGGCAGTCGCCTTGACCCCTCCCGCGGCAACTCACTTCTGATTTCTCGCCTCGCCTCACCCGAACACATGGCTTCCCGCACACTGTCACAGTATCTGTGTTCTTCACCCTTTTTTACCCTTGGCTAAATTCGGGATCATGTGCTTTCTTTTTAATCCTGAAGCGGATATATACTTAGCTAAGTAAAGATAGCTAATTATTTTCTTTCTGTGTATATTCTTTTTGCTTCCTTTCTTCTTTCTGTGTGTTTGATCATCCCGCTCGATGGATGGATGACTCCTTGAATCTTTGTAGTTCTTCCGGTTTACGACTGTCTCGTTCGTCGTTACGGTGCCTGCCCTTGTGCCATTGGCTCCACAGATGATTCTTCTTACTTATCCGACTCCTCCTGACTCTCATGAATGGTTCTTAAACTTGTGGCTCTAAAATTGTGTTTATCCGATTCGTGCTTTAGCCCTAACTTTTTTTCTTTGCTTACGTTGATCCTGCCGTCACCTGTCTTGTATTGCTATATCGTTTGCGTTTTTCGCTTGCTGTTCTCTCTACTTCAGGCTGGCTGACTTGATATTTTGATTTGGCCTGTCTGGTATATATTGTTTCTGCTTCTGTGTTTCTTGCCTTGTCAAGTAGAGAAATAAAATAAAGTGCTCTCACTCCCACTTGTCACGGAAAGAAAGGAAAAAGAAATGGCGTTCTTTCGTTCTAATCTCTTCCGTTGATACCATCAGTCGGGAATGACTCATCCTCTCGCTCGCGTCCGAGTATTTCAAGTTTTTTTGAGTTCTTAAAAATGCCGGAAAGATTTCTGCTGTACTAGTAGTGGCTCTCTCGCTTCCCGCGAACAGAGAGACAAAGGGACAGAGGGACGGACGACAAACTAGAATAAATGATGCTGCCAGTGCCATGCGATCTCAATTCGCGGGAGGGCTGGACATCATTAGATCTGGAGTTGTGGCTCTTTCAATTTGTGGCGTTCGATGTTCGATGTTTGATGGTTTTGATTTTTCTAATTGAGATGTTGTGATGTGTCGAAAATGTTCGATGGCAAGAAGGCTTGTTTGACTTGCTACTGTTTGACTTTGTGACTTCGTGGCGTGCGTGCCTTGGCATGGAAGGACGGGGGATTCGGTTTGTTTTAACTAGTTTGTTGTTAGAATTGCAAGCGCTTTCTTTTTGAGTTCCTCGGAAGACAGGTACAGTCAGGAGGTGGCTCCCGCGAAGTACGCATAATTCTTGATGGGCGGCGCGGATGTCGAGAGGATGGCATAACGACCTGAATCTTTGTAATGGAAGGGAATCACAAATTTTCTTGTTTGCATACTTGCTCTGTTAAGATGCACCAGAGCTGTGGAAATTTCTGGTGATACTGAAGCTAAAGGGGCCGTGTGAGTGTGCGAAACAAACTTAGTAATTCCCGAGCGGAATAGAGTTTGACAAGAAAATGACCCTGATACGAATCGGAATACGATTGTTCGTGAGGGGGACTGCGATCGGCGCCGCAAGAATATCGAACTTGGACACCATAACTTGAAGGGGTCTTGCAAAACCCGTGACAAGCGACAAACTTACAGTATGGTAATGGGGAAGAGCGTAAAGGAGGGAAGGGGAAAGCCGCATGCCTTCCGTGCAGCCCGATTTTCAAACGAGAGCCCGGGAGGCGATACAATCTGAAGCATAGAATCCTCCGATCTGGGTTCTGGCCCCTGCAGCGTCTCTCGAGACGCATGTATATTTATCCAAGGCATTCCGTAAAACCTACATTGACGAAAAATTGATAGCGAGTAGCTTGTATGCGCTGCGAGGAGCTGAAGGGACGGGAGCAGTTGACTTGTGCTGACGATGGTAGATCCACGTCAGTTCCGCATGCAGGGTCGCGAGGATGCAGGCCAGTGGCGATGAATTTTGATCTCGCACGTCACGTATCAGCCGTCCCAATCACAAGAAGCGCCTTCTCTTAGCAGGAGCAGGAGAAACAGGAAAAAGGAAGAGAAAACTTTTAACAGCAACCCTGCGTGCTGTTTATGATTATGACAACATCCCGCACTTATCGACCTGTGTGGTTCTCTTCCTTCCCTAAATCAGTTCAGTCTGCTCGTTGCGACTGCGCATGTATATGCGCGCTGTCCACTTTGTACATGCGTTCCGGTCGATGGGCGCTCCCTCTACTTATGCAGGCAGTGAGACGTCACCGAGAGTTCAGTGCTCTTTTCTCCGGCGCAAGGAAGACGAGGGTTTGGAAGGGACGCTCTCGGTCCGCTGATTCCCCACCCCTGCCCGTTCAGCCGCACCTTCCTAGAGTATATTAAATATGTCGATCCCGAGTTAGGCTGCATAGCATCAGATGGAAGATGGCAACGCCTCGCGCCATGCCGCTGGTCTAAGTAGGGTCGATGGAGATGATAGTTGATATGATTCTGTTGACCGAGCTCAGTGTCACTACTGCTTTTGGTTCGAGGAAGTGATGAAAGTGATGAGTTCCCGCCGCGTTTTTCCCAGGTGCGAATAATCGCATCGATGCGCCAGCCATCATCATTTTAACTGATGCGGTCAAGTAGTCTAAATTGAGTGAATTGAAATTCTATTTCACTTCTTCAACCGGGGAAGAAGAATAGCGCTGAGAAAGGGAGGATAGCAATAAATTCAGGTCTGGCAAAGGTTCGTGGAATTGTGGGGTACAATCCAATGCATTCGAGATCAGTAAATATAGATGAATTGAAAGGAGAACTCGGCATACTCAAATCGATAAGAGTAAGGAATAGTGTGTCCGATTACAACGGTACCGTTGGGTAAGATTGTGTATACATTTTTGCACCTGGTACACCTGACTTCCTTTTCATAACGGAGGAGCTGTCAGATTGCTCCCGTACATAGCGTGGAATGTGCCAACGTCATTTCTGATATGTGCATATGAGAAACAGACGCTGTGATAGTTGTGCCAAGTCGAGTCTAATTAAGACTATGTCTGAAAATCGAGATCAAGAATAATGATCCGGGGATTATTCATAGGCATGAATAACGAACCGATACGTTTCGTGCGAGATTACGACACAGATAATTTGCTTTTCCATGGAGCTTTGCGTGAAGTGAAGGGTGTAGAGGTAGAGGAATGAAAATGGACGCAGTGTAGACACGGGATTACGCGGCGGGTATTTGATTGGCAGTTCAAACTCCGCGGATTCACGCGACACGTCGACGCGTTCAAGTCATCCCACCCTCTTCTTCTTCCTCGCACCACATGCAAGCGGCGACCTTTGTGCATTCAATTCGCTGACAAGCTCAGGGGATCAACTTCACTGTTCGTAGCACTGTCCTCATCTGATGCCTATCAGCTCCAGACAACGGAACCCCGTCTTTGAATAGCCACTTAATCTTTGCATTTACGCAAGAAGCTCGCCCAACGTGCGCTCACTTGAGTCACTTCTCTCCCACCGGTAATCAAACCTCGTCCATAGGCTTCTGCACTTTGTTCGATGGCCGCTCACATCTATCCGTACCCATATCCGTGCATAATCAGATCTCGTCTTTCTCTTTTCTGCTAAATTTTGCCGCGCTCAACAGCGACGGATCTCGCTTATTGTGTGGAGGCGGTGCACTGTTCCACGATTGTCTTCTCCCCGCAGGTCCTGATCCAGCTCGATTAGGGGCGGCGCGGAAGCAAAAAAAAAAGGACCGTCCTCGGGCACCGCTTTCTCGCCCTGACTTCCTGCTGGATTGATAGCAAAGAACATACTTATCCGTTCTTGTCGTTTTCTCTCACGCGTGGATACTGCGCGTTCTACTAGCACTTCTGACTACCTTGACAAAGGACAAGTCCCGCAATCTTATTTATCTATGACGGTGCCGTCCTTTGCCGAGACTGTATGGGCTCATTGTGTTCTCGATTGAGGAAATTCTGAATCGCGCTCATGAACAGCCATCATCGCGGGTTCGGACACCATCGGCATTCAATATGCAACGCGCGCACCTTCACTAGTCCGCCGAAAGCTTGTATACAATGCATACAACACGTCGCTTCCCTTCCACTTCTCCGCACTGGTGCCTAGCGGCTACGTATAGGGCATGGCGCGTCACACGGCATGGTGAATGTTAAACCCTTATGGGGCACTCTCAGTCTGTGGCACTAGTACATGCGCGTCGATTTCGTCGTGGAACTCCGATCGTTCTCCGATCCGCTGACTTCAAATTTCCAGTCGTTTCCTTATCGTACCCGTGCTGGCAAGAACCACCTGCTGCTTTATTGGAAAGGCGCCTTGAACGCTCTTCAGCGAACGTAAATCAAATGTGAGACACGCTGGGGACAGATAACTTGCTGAAGTTCATTAATCCCTCGAAGGAGAAGCACGTCTACCGCTCAATATATTGAAATAGAGATAATGATAGAAGTAGGGCGATTTTTTTCGCTCATGATTTACCATTTCACGAAGCTATCAAACTTCGCGTCCCTGCAGAATGAGGAGATTGGCAATGGCGTGTTACTTGCCCACTTATCCAGTTATCCAGTATATTATGTCTAGAGGATCAAAGGATGAAAGCTCGCCAGCATCGTGTCAAAGAAAGCAGTCTATACACATCCTACGTTCCAGGCGTCTTTTTGATATCGTTGAACGCGGCCATCCATCTGCTCTCCCGATGGCCGATGTTCTAGTACTTCCTTCCCTATGCGGCCTATGGCAAGAGCAGGTACTCGATACTGGCGCAAATGAACTCATAAACCTGAATGGTTGAGTATTAGCTTTCCTCGTACAACGCGGGGTCTTCCGGCTACCCAACACATCACCTCTGGGACGCGTCCCTGCGTGTTCTATTGGTGCGCCAATTTCCGTCAGACTCCTTGAGGTTAAACTCATCTGTTCTTGCTGTTATGCTCTCGATACAGTCAATCAGTGGCGGGACAACTCGACTGTAGCGTCAGAATGCTTTTGGGATCGCATCATTGTCCACTGGTTTGATTTACCACAAGTGGAGCATGTTGCCAGGAATCACCTTTGCAGAGTTTGCCTCCATCGCGGCAACTCGACCCGACCCCTTGCCCCCCATCGACTCATGCTGATTTGATGTGAGTCGATGCCGTCTCTGACATCTTCTCGTATGAGTTCCATCAGGGATGATTGAGCAAAACTTGGATGCAGCTTCTCCTACTATCCTCAAACGGACCAGCAATGCTACCAGGCCATCTGCATCGTCCGATGATCACCCTTATCAAGCTTCAAGGGTTCATTATCGTACATACTCGCCAAACTAAAGTCTTGTACATCCGCGGAACACCAACGTGCCTTACTGTTGTAGTCACGAAGTCCTGTCCAAGTTGAGCTTGCTCGTGCCAGGAGCCCACGGTAGTGCAATGTCGCCAGATCGGTCTGCCGGGTGCGCGACTTGAAGAAAAGTTGGAAGAGTAGGGAGTAGAGTTCTGGACCACATGCACAGGCGCTAGTTCATCGACGGGCAAGAGGAAGCGGGCTTCGAGTCCTAGATCAGCGGCACTACGGTATTGTGTTCGTGCGTACAACATTGGCACAGAGCCTCGGCTCTGATGTCTGGGGCAGCGTCGGAAATAAATCGAATGCCATCTTCAACATTTCACATGCTTGGTAGCACGAATGTACAGATGTAGGATGTCCGGGGGACAAGACCATGTAGAGAGAAGACGGAAATAATGCTGGATGCGGCGCGGAACTTTCTTTCTTTTCATCTCAGGAGTTTTGTGACGCAGGGAAGTTCCTACTTCCGTGACCGTCGTCAGAGATCCCCTGATCCCTTGGATTAGACACTCCGGGCTGGCCGAGACAATGTCCTCCATTTCTTCGCATCAGAAAAATAATAAATACACATTCAACAGTGGAATTTGTTTGTACTGTTTTCATCTTGCGACTTTCAAACATGTTGTCCACCTCGGACTTTCGTGCTTACTGTATGCCAGCTAGGAGGCTGCACCATATACCCGGCTTGTTGGAGGCACAGTCGCAACGTAATAAGACCTCAGTATTGCTCAAAAACGGAGGCGTTCCTGCCCTTTCTGGGTTTTCCGGGTTTAGTGTTTCAGGTCCGTGGGGCCCAGGGGGATGAGCGTGACTGGCCATTCCAGTATGCAAGGTTTTTTCAAGTCAGTCACGCCGAGTCGCTATCCGGAGTGGCGCGAAGTGCTCTAGGCTCCTTTCCCACCCTAATGTCGAACCGTTCAGACCCCAATAGAAGGTCTGCACCTCGTCGCAAATGACATCGACCGGAAAATTATGGCTAACTTGCAGTCTTGATAATGCTGGCCGAAAGGTACATACTGGAATGTGCGGGTGATCTCTGTTGCCGTTAGCATGCTGCTGAGCCCATACACACGAGGTCTTGCCACAGACCTCGTAGCTGCTGCTCATATATGTTACACCTTTTTACTGAGACATATGAAGCGCATTTGACTGTTTCGGAAATTAGCGAGTGCTATTTGACTTTTAAGGAACGCCTTTGTTAAGCGCTGTGTGTGGGTATAGATCCAGTCACAAATTGTCTTCTGGACACGAGTCGGTAACGCGTTAGGGACAGGAGGTAATTTGTACTCTGATCTAAAAATAACACTTTTGTTCTTTCGAATTTCCAGGAGAGAAGTATCTGCTTGCTTAACGACTGGTTCAATAAAATAAGAAAGTTTAGGATTTGTAGATCATGAGCCTCGACGGTCTCTATCAAGGGTTTTATTTGATCTTTTGATGCAGTGATTCGCCATGCTAGGTAGTTGCTAATTACTATTTAAGAGATTCTCACTTCGCGATTCACTGTTTACAGCCTTTGATGCGCCCGATATTTGAGGAGCTGTATCTAAGCTATATTTCTATCCTTTTTATATCGTTACAATCCCAGTAACTTGTCTTTTATGCAACTGTTATTTTGTTCGGCAATATTAAAAAATAAATAACTTCCAAAAGTGTCCTTTTCTCCTTATAGGACTCATGTAAGAGCGCTATTATGTCGATGAGGTATTGAATTAAAATGCCGTAGAAATAGCTCAGCACACAGCATGTAACGGAAGAAAGCATGCTCCATGAATTTGCAATATTGACGCCTCAATCTAATGCATTAGAAGAGAAGATTGGTAAAGAAAGGAAAGTTTAAGCCTCTGGACCCTAGATCAATACGCACTGGAAAAAACTCGGATGGTGTGAGTCTACAAGAACTTCATTTTATTCGAAACAATAGTTTGCACAGGATTCCGGACTGAGTGAGAAATAATGAAACGTACTCTGATGGATTCGCTCGGATCTGTACGAAATTGCACATAGGTAGGGCATCAATATGCCGGCCTCGACAATGTGTACTCTCAAGAAGATAGAATCAGTATAGCTTGCTCAACCTTGTACAAGGCGAATAGAAGTCCTGTCAACTTGATTCTCGCCGGTAATACTGATGCGTTCTTGCACGGGAGAAGCAACACTGCTCCACGGGCCTTTATGATCATCTGATCGGGATAACAGAATTGATAGGAAGCTTGCTCGTCAAGCTGAATCACGAGCAAACGAGTTACAAGAGAAGAGGCTGGAGCAATATCGTTCCCTTTTTCTTAAGTTAGTATTCAAGCATTTCAAATTCACAGATAAGTTTGCAGCTAACGTACACGGCAGACACTTCTATTGTGCGCAATTAAACTGGCTTCTTGATACTATTACCTGCCAGGAGAAGATTTCACGAGCGCAATTGCCGATTATCGGCATATATCAATACAGAAGGCGGGTGGATTAGTCCGGCATATTGACATTTCTACGATTCACATACTTCCAACTCGAGAACGCCATCTTATACTTCCTTGCAAATTTCATAGAAACCGAAATGAGGTGTACGGACAATGAACACCGAGATGTTGGTTGAGGCAAGTGAAGTTGGGGAGTCAAATTAATGAATTTATGGACTGAGACTAGTTTTCCATGAGTACTAGTTTTATATGACGGACTTGCATACTTTTGGGATGGGACAAGCAGCGATCTCCACACAAAGTAGCCTAGGAATGGCGCTTGCACAATGAATATTTGATATTCTATCCTCTAATTCAATATTTCTTTGTTGTTCAAGCATAGAAATTTACAGTGTTAGATCTAGGGTAGGTTTCCACGTTCGATTTAGAGGAACACTCCTATTCTAATTGATCATCAGGAAAAAGTCACATTTCTTATAATATATTTTAGACTTTGTAAAGTAACATAAGTATTGTATGTATATTGTAAAGTAATTACAAGACTTGCAAATCAATTGTAAAGTTTGTATAAGACATGTTAATGTATATAAAGGCTAAGTAAGTGTTATGAATGAATACAATCTATTACAAGTATTATACTAACTTTGTATAATAGTACTAAGTATTATGCTTGCATTACATTTTTATTATAATTTCAAAGAAAGAATTATATTTATAATAGAATAATGTAACAATAACTATTGTTGCCTTATAATTTATGTAAAAGGTATATTAATATATATAATAGTGTAAGAGCACTTGTTATATTATTATTATCTTAATAAAAGTATACTATAAGTATATAATATGTATATTATACTTAGACTATCTATACAAATAGTTTACAATATTTGTAAAAGTTATTTCATCTACTTGTAATAATTACATAAGTGTGTTTAGAAAGCTATATACTTGCCATATTACTTTTTACTATATTACAAAGTAGATCAATTATTTATTTTATACCTAAATACAATAATTGAAATGTTCTATCAGTTGACGACTCATATTATAGTTGCTTATGTAATCAACTGCTGAAGATCGAGAGCATATAATGACGCATTTCTCTTTGTCACTCCTTTACTCCTACCTTCACCATCTCCCCAACCCTCTACCCCCAACGCTATGTCGTCGCTTCTGTTCTCTCTAGTAA